TTAAAATATATGCTCCCTGTAAGCAGGGGCGCCGGCCAGGGATTTTGGGCCCCATGAAAAGATAATCACATTGGTTACTTAAACATTTTTTTCTTAATGTTCTAAAATAGTTTGGGCCCCTGTCAGTCACGGGCCCTTAGAATCGTCCCTAACTTTTCACCCCCTTACGGCGCCCCTGCCTGTAAGTAATGTAACAGTAGGCTTATTAGACCAGTCTACAGATTATACTGTATGTTATCATTATGCAGAACAAAAAAAAAAGGTTTTTACAGCTCATATGTCCCTATTTGCTCAAAGTGAAGATTATAATTGTTTCATATAATTGTAAAATATGTAAAAAAAAAAAAGGAATGTTTTTGCTTCTCTTTGGGCTAAACCGGTGTTGGACAATTCGACAGTTTCAAAAAGTAAAAGCCCCTAAAAGGTTTTCATGAATCTGCATATTTCACTTCACTGAATTATCTTTCCTTGCATTTTACAGAGCCGCACTGCAGAGAGTTAACAGCACAGTAGTAGATCCATGCTGCTGATTCCAGTTCAGTATTGATGTCCTGTCTCCCCTGGGGACCACTTTTAGTGAGAAGAGACCTGAGTCAGCACTTAGTGAGCACTAGCCAGTGATGAGGAGCACATACCATCAGCTAATGCTCAAATAAAAAAAGAAAATACAATGAATGTGTCAATAATTGCACAACAGTTGCTGCTGACAGAGTATATTTCCAATGCATGAAGTGAAGTATTCTATCATTACACCAGCGTAGTAAGTTGTTTTATGCTGTCATGTGGTTTCATTGATCACAAGCAGGAATAGAAAATCCCACTATCTGTAGCTTCTGTACAGAGGTAACATGACATTGAATGCTGAGTCTAACTCAACTGTAATCTCATGTGCCTTGTGTGCCACATAATGGAGTCATTTATGTAATGTTTGTGTTCATGTCCCTGATAAAGGACAACATCAGAATTATTCATCCATCATCCATGTTGTGTTCTGTATTCTCTCCAGCATGGTATTGAAATGTATATCTATACGCCCCTCCCTTCCTCTGAGGTGTTATAACCACAGTGTTATTGAACAAGCTTTGTGTCAGTGGCTGACACCAGTAGAAGAGCTGTGCCCCTGACCTTCCAAACATCATTGGTCAGCGAAATGGGGAGGGGGGAGATATACTGCAGTGTCTTTTTTTCTGCAGAGGGCAGAGACAACATGCTACAACATTACTGCTGCTTCTGCCTGCGGCGTTCATGTATGTCCATTAATCTTTCCTTGTTCCACATCTAAAATCTCTCCATCTGTCAGTGCATGTATCCCCCTTTTCACATCAGTGCAAAATAAGTCAAGCAAAACAGACTTAAATGACAATGGCTTTTTTACGGAAATCTTTCTCTTGATAAACTGCACAGATACAGTAGATTCCTATTTCGTCAGACAATTGCAATGCACTGCTGTGAGACTGCAATTAACTACATTAGCCACTTCATTAGGTTTATGGGGTAAACACACAGATATAGGATTGCACAAAGTGATTTTTTTTAGTATGTTGTGGTGAGGATTTGAACATGTCGATAATGATTTTACTGAGTGAGGAAATGTACAGGATTGCATAACAAAGGTTTACATCCACCATGTAAAGCGGTGAAACGCTATGAGGGCACACTCACCTTTGGTTTAGAGGCATTCCAACACTCCAGAGAATCAGCCTGCAAATGAGGGAGAGGAGATTTACCCGAGCCGGTAAGATGAAGAATGTGGCACACACACTTCCATTGATGGAGCTGCTGCCCCCCTCCAGTTATCCCTCTTGCGTGAGTGGATTCAATCACACGTACGCATGACATGCACTAGCCACTCTCAGGCTAAGTGAAACATGTACAGCATTGCCTTTCATTTAGTCCACAGCCCAGTACAGTGAGGGTGTTTCTGCTCACACATTCCAGTGCTGAGTTGTTTCTCCTTTGAGACTCGGATGTGCAACTAATTCCCGTCAGTTTCATGACAGGGTTTTCCTCCTTCCTCGCCTGAGCGGTTGACAGTGCACTTTATGATTAAGCCAATATTAAAGCACAATCGAGCTGCAACAACTCCCTGCTGCAACATTTGCTCTGGCTCTCATCACGGCCCTTTCTGTCTCCATGAGCCTCGTGCACTCTGTTTATTTTATCGCAACAGAAAACCCCTGGTCTCTTGTTTATTTATCATATCCCTACTTGACCACCACCACAGAGCTGACCATGATAGCTCTCTCCCCTTTGAACAGGTCTTCTACAATCCAAGCCATTGGCACAAAGCCCTGTAAACTGCCTCGGCTTAGCACCGGGCTAAACCAATCAGGTGGCCTGAGGTCTATCCCAGGAAAGACCTGCTCTATTAATCTGAGGAAAGGATCAAGCGCAAAATACTATGGAGGACAAGAGAAGACGTTTTTTTGCAGAATTGCTTTTTTTGGGACATCGTAAGGTTTCCTGCTGGGCACATTGTAGTAACACTAACAAAGATTTGCAGCACAATTGTCCTTGTGTACAATTTAAGTACCTAAGGGAGAACATGTGCTGTGAAAAAAGGTCACAGGGTCAGTGTCCCCCTCCATTAATCTTGAAATGATCCATAATAGCAAAGAGAGAGTAGGAAAAGAAGGGGAAATACTGTTAGCTGACATGCCTCATCATAAAGCTCTTAAGCTGCTAGCAGGCTAAAAATGGGTGTTCACATGGTACTGTGTATATAAACAAACAGGCTTGTATCCATTCATTGTGGACTTAAGTGAAATAGATCATTAATTTCAGCAGCACTTTGACACAGTACGGCTTTGAACCGTGTCAGTGTTGGCTTGGAATTAATACCATACTTTGGAATGGTGAGACAAGCGATCTGTTGTGTGAAAGCTAATTGACCAATCTGGTTCAAGTGTCTCGGTTGTATGATATGATTGAAGATTTAAAATGACACATGATATTCCAGTGAAAATATGTTCAGTGACTGAGCTGTCACCAGGATGTTAAAGTCTTTCCCGTTGGAGTGAAATACACTTGAACAGACATAACTGACTATAATGGATGAAATGGCACATCACGTCCCCATCAATTACAAGGAGTTAATTGCTTTTGAATGTGATATTGCAGAGTGTGTAGGTTGATTAACTCTGCTTCCAATTTATGACTCATTTAACATGCAGGTCATTTCTGCTTTAACATTTCTGCTGACCTTTCAAAATGGGTTTGGCCATTTGGTTATCGTCTGATTTATTGGTGTTTGGACTGTCTCAATAATGCACTTACTTGTAGCCTAGAACTGTTGTGATATATATACTGTTCAACACATTATTTTCACATCATTAACTTCCATTGTATATACTGGGGGAAATGCATTTATATTCTTTTATAAACTTATAATTTTAAACAAAAAAATAATAATACAATCTTACAGATAAGCGATGAACTGTCATTCATGGCTCGGGTTTATTTAGCAAAAAAGCAAAATGGCCTAAATGTACAATTGTAGACTCAGGATGTATGTTTTTCATAGTTTTGCAGGTGGCATCTTCTGCCAAAATAGCTTGATGTCACCAGAGGAAGGGTGAAATAAAACAGAGAACAGTCTCTCCCTTTGTTTCCTGTCACCTGTCACACCATCTGCCCTAGTATGATATAAATGTTTAGTTTTTGTCTTATTAACCCACAGATCCTGTGTTGATCCTCTCACAATTGTCTCAGTCATTGTGTTCTTAAGTGCTCATACTGGGTGAAACTTCTTTGAGCAATTATAAATAAAGTAGACAAAAAGTCTTTAGTAATACAAAATTCCCACACCTCAAATAAATGAAAGAACTAAACTGGGGCCTAAATGGACTGTTGCTGTGATGGTAACTGGCTCAATAACAGTATTTGACTGCCCTCTAGTGGTTCCTTGAAAAAACGTACCCAGTTATTTTTTTGACCGAACTTATCTCACTTAAGTTTCACTTCTCTTGTGGGGTTGAATGAGGACATTAAAGTTATGCAACATAATAAAAATATGAAAAAATAATTACATTATTATATTTATTATATTTATTATCATATTCCTGTTTCTGGACCTAACATCTGGACCAAAGGAAAGTTAATGGACTTTACCACTGTGCTATAACCTTTAAAGTGTCCTTAGTAGAGGCACACACTGTAAGGTCAATGAAAGAGTGTGTTGAGGCTGTGAAGCTCTCATGCTTGTGTATGAGTGCATGGTTGTGTGTTGTGTTTAAATGAATAAGTATATATTCAAGCTTAGCAAATCTACTCTTTGTATATAAGCATATTTTTGAATATGCTTGACTTTTTATAGGCATATTTTCAGCCCCCCATACTGTTAAGTATGGATTTGATGCATTATTTCTGCAGGCACTATTGCAATTAGTGGGAAACAATGAATCTGTGAAAGTTAAATGAAAACATACAGTAAAAATATTGTTTTTTGAATGTAATGTAAGGCAAACTAATATACGTGTGTGGTGTGTACCCCTATGCAGATCTACTGACCAGGGCACAGAGGCTTTCTGCATCTGGACTGGTGCAGTGTGTATTTTTAGGGAACCACAATGCCACCGAGAATCACTCAAGGCCATCTGATTGTACCCTTATTTTTTTAGGCAGCAACTGTTCTTAAAACAGAAACACACATTTATTGGTCACACTTTATTTGAATCACCTTTCCTACTAGACTATAAAAGGGTGTGTGCATTATAGTTGAACTTGGAGTACACAAATCAAGTGATACTAGAATTTATCCTGATCCTGAATAAGGTCGCTATTTCGTGTTGACTCATTCTACTTGAATTCAAAAATATATAATGTTTAAATGGATCCACTGGAGTTTGTCTGTGACCCATATTATCCAAGTTTGGATAGCTTATCAGGGTTTCCAACTTTCACATATGGCCTTAAGATTGTACTGATTGTTACATAACTGCTTTGCAAATGACAGAACTGTTGTGCCTGGCATTTCAGACTGGGCCAACCTGTTTTTCCCCCACAAATAGCCAGAAGTCAGAGGTGCAGCCTCAGAGTACAGTCATGATCAGTTTCCAGAATATATTTCTCCTGAACTATGCCTCAAACAACTGAACATACTCATAAGAGAGCACAGAGTTAACTGGGAGGAGTCAAATAGGTAAGCATGTTATCAATTTCTTACTTGTAGGGTAAACTTGCTGCCAGTTTTGCTCCTCCAAATGTCTTGTACTTTACTCGCATATCAACGGTGTTTGTTTGTTTACGGTGTGCATCATCACGAATTGCAGAGCACTAAACGGCTGATCTATTTACAAATCACAACACATCTGAAGCTCATTTTTAGGCGATTATTTTTCGGATAATTTCACGGCTTACGCTGATATTGTTCGATTGGGATACTCCGTAAATAGCTGGCATCAACTTTAAATCCCTCATAGCCTACATTACGGTATGTTTTGTACATGTAGGTATTTTTCAAACACTGTCTTCACCACGCCTTTCAAAAACATTACCGCTGTCTGTCACGAGACATATTTATTTCATGCGCGACACGCAATCTTAGGAACTTGATCATACTGTAGGTTTGCTCTCTGTTTGTAGGAAGTGAGTAAGAACGTAACTCAACGTTCCCTATACGTCTGTTTATACGCTTGCATGGAACAGTTACATTCTCTCGTGGACCTACAGTCGAGACGCTGGGGAAGTGAAACCCGAGTTTCAAATGTCTCACTTCCGTATGTTCTTGCTTTGCAGTGTGTGCTTCATAAACCTCTACTTACAGTAGACTCTTTGCTGTGCTGCTGAGGAACAGAGATGTTGTTCTGGAAGTGAATGCCTTCGGTTTCAAGTCCATGAAGTCTAGATTCAAAATATAAAATGGCAAGGCAAAATCCGGTAAGAACTCTGCAGCTTTTATATGCAAAACGTTAGCTACACAATAGTGTTTATTGTGTCAATGTGACACTATGATGTTATGATTCCTAGTAATACCCATATGCCTACCGAAAAGGTAGCCTTATACTATATGCCTGTGGAAAAGAGATTTCTGTAGGCAGCTTTTTAAATGTTTTAGTTATTATATTTGTGAGAAATATAACTATTTTCCTCACTAAAACACATGTAGGCCTATGGGCCATTCTACCGAATTGATGCAAAGTCAGGTTGGAACAGTTTTGAAATGTTGGTAGTCCATATATATTTTGTACCATATCTAAATTACACATATCTAGTAAATAACCGTACATTTTTATATCGTATTTTCAGACTGTATTGGAATGTTCTTCCTCTACCAAAAACTGTCACTACCGAAACATAGTACTACAGTACACATACACTGTAGTAAAAAAGTATTATATTAACCTGTTAAGATTGTTTTACCTTCCCTTATCTAAATAGTATTTTAACAAATATTTATTGAGGGTTTTCACAATTAAATCAATGCAATTTAATTTGTAATCAAATTTCAAAGTTCAATTTATACAATTCATAAAAATCGCAATGCAATTTTTCTTTGTAAAATGCATAATACTGATCATATTGATTCCAGAGTTGATGATTGTTGAAATTGAACATACATTAAACCAACCAGTATCATATCATTTTATTTGATAAGTCAATATACTTTATTTTTTACAAAACATCCAGTGTTTTGGTAGTGACCACAGTATTTTGTTCTCAAGGTTGTATCATATTCCCTCAACCTTATTGCTTAATCTTAACTCATAACATGCCTTATGTTGAAGTGTGAATGTTTGAAGCTACTGACCCAGAATCAGCACTTTAGTAACAGGCTGAAAGAGAGGGGAATGAGGCTAGAATGCATGATCTGTTTGGTATTTTGAGCAAAACACTTCATAGACATGTTTTTATATATCTGAGACCTATAATATATGCCTAACAATAGTATAATAAGAGACCTTTAAAGTAACACACTGATTTTCAGACTTTAAAACACATTTATTTAAAAACTATGGGATTTACCTGCAGTGCTTACCATTCCATTTTGTCACCACCGAAACGATCATGTCAATTACCGAAACGTAACCATATGTTTCGGTAGTGACTGTTTCGGTAGTGACGATTCTAGCTAAAATTGAGCATAACTAAAGAATGCTAGCAACTACATGACTAGCATACACGTTTTTGAAGAGGTTTACACACATAAAAACATAATAATAATAAAAAAAGTTTACTTACTTGAAGATAATATGTCTGGTAGTGACAATTATTAAGGTTACAGGCCGATTTTCAGATTTTGGAACAGATTTATATCAAAAGTATGGGATATAGCTACTGGCTATTCAGCCATGAGGGACAGGGATGCAGTGTCACTGCCTAGTCAAAAATGCAGGGGTGTGGCTAAAAACCAGACTCAGCCATTGGACTAAAACCCCTTGTGTTTCGGTAGTGACATGAAAACTGGGGACATGATTTTTTGAGTATAGTTTTTTTATTAAAAAATTAAACCCACAATAAATCTAAATATTCCAACTTCTGTTTGAATGTAATCATAAAGATCTTCTAAATACACCATTCAACAAAATAAAATAAAATGTTTTAAGTGTTATTTACAGAACATGACATGTAGATGTCAGGGTTGGGGACAGCTACTTCCCAATAGAAAGTACCCTATAAATGATGTTTTTGTATATATTAAGCTTATCACTATATAATTGAATGCCTTATGTTTAAATAGACCATAACATATTCTTAGTAAATATCTATGTCTGAATACTTAAAGGTGGGGTAGGTAAGTTTGAGAAAACCGGCTCGAGATACACTTTTTGTTATATTCCATGGAATGCTCTCAACATCCCGATAGCAATGAATATCTTAAGTGCTTTGACAAAAAATCCATAAAAAAATGTCATCTGTGGAAGCCGTAGTACTGTAAAAAGTACGACCAATCATTTTAGCCGGCCTGGCTAAAATAACTGGATGGCCTACCTGCCTGTCAGCCTTCCATCTGTGCACAAGCTTATCTCGTGCCCTCATTGGTCATGTGCTCGTTCGTGTGTGTTGGAGGAGGGGCTCTGTAAGGAAGTGGCAGATTTTTTCCGGCTGTGTATTTTCAAATTCTAGCGCACTCGAGCTGGTTTCTCCGAAATTACCTACCCCACCTTTAATTGTTTTGTTAAATAGTTTTTCTTGTTGTGGGAACCGCACTTTGCATCAATTCGGTAGAATTCCCCCGTATATGTTTTGTATCATAGTGTCACTAATTAATATGTTATATCAACAATAGATCAAATGACTGTGAATTATATGACCAATATTGCTCATCATAGTGATAAAACGAAAATTGATCACATAACCAAACTCAGTGCCCCTCACCTCTGAAGCATTTAGTGTATTTTAGCTTGTTGCATCAGTTAGACAGCCTAAGCAACTTTCCTGTTTTGATTTACTCTCAGAAGTGTCAGGCAGAGGTTTTAACAAAAAATCTCTTAAAAAACACTGGAGGCTAATATATTATCCCAGATAAAAAGCTAGCAACCAGCTGGAACACATAGTGGAATATTTAGCAGCTAAAGAGGCAGATATTTGTCTTACGAGTTAGTCAAGACGGAGCTAAAGGAGGAGTAAATATTGTACTTTGTCAGAAATACGACTCCAAATATTTCCTAATGTTTCTCTTTATCTTACGGATCTGTACACAGGTAGCTGTTTGTTACATACTTGCCATATTTACATATTAGTTAATACAATACTAGTGTTATTGTGCTTGTGCTTCCTACAATTTGCCAAAAAAACTAAAAGTATGTAGATTTAGGATTACACAGATTGTTTTTCTTTCTCTTTTCTTAAAGGTTTTTGACACGATGAATGCCCTAAATTCCCTTCTCCCGACGATGATCATCATATGTTGCTTAATGCCGGGACCGCACAATTGCGTAGCTTTGCAGAGGAAGACTTCCTGCCATGTGCATGACAGTATAGCTGACTGCAGCCATCTCAGCCTCAGTGCGGTCCCTCAAAACCTTCCCAGCAACATCATCAGCCTAGATTTGTCTCACAACAGATTGAAAAGCATCCTCCCTGTGTCTCTATCCCCATACCCGGGCCTCCGCCGTCTCAGTGTCAGTTACAACAGTATCGTCAAGCTGGACCCGGGACTGTGCCAGACACTGCCTCTGCTGCAGATACTGAACATGGGACACAATCAAGTGCATGTGCTGAAGAAGGAGGACATGAATCATTGCATCAATCTAACATGGTTGATTATGGCTAGTAATAAGCTAAAGCTACAAGGAGAGCCCTTCTCTGCACTACAGGTACAGATGCCACACTGATGAGTTGGATCAAAAATAGCTGGAGATACGTTTATTGTAAGGCTCATGAGCTATATGGGTGCGATAATGGTGACAAAAATGAGTAAAATAAGTGAATAGTTATTTTTCTGCCTCTCATTATTTCACTACAATATTTTGATATGCCTCTTAAATATTTAATTTTCTTCTTTCGTCCTTCATAGAGACTTCAAGTCCTTGATGTGTCCTTAAACAAACTGCAGTCAGCCAAGCTCGGCACTCAGATTCAGCTGCCCAACCTCGTGCGCCTCAATCTGGCTTTAAATGACTTCACCACTCTGAAGAAAGACGACTTTTTGTTTCTTAAACAATTCATCCTCTCTACTTGTCCTCAACATGTCATTGTGCCTCTAAAACGGTAAGAAACTTACCTAGAAATAGGAAAGGAAATATTGTTGTCAAAACTGGAACCAGGGTTAGAAAGTAGTCAATGGAGAACCATGCTTTCAGTTGTCTGTTTTGTTTCCCTTTTTTCGTCTCACTACAAGATATCTTTGTTTTGTTGTGTTGCAGTTGGAGCATGGCAGCTTTAAACCCATTTCAGGCCTACGTACTTTAATCATGGATGGAAGCAATATGGACACACTGGGTTTTTCTGAACTCTGCTTAGAGTTGTCAGCGACCACTATTGAGGCCCTGTATCTCCGGAGGATGAAGCTGGCAAAACTCACAAACACAACCTTTAAAGCGCTACAGAAAACAAATCTAACCTATTTGGATATGTCCAATAATGACATGGTTAACATTGAAAATGGCTCATTTTCATGGCTGTCCAGGCTTCAGACCCTTGTTTTGTCTGACAACAAGATTAAGCAACTAAACAAGAACACATTTCAGGGCCTCAAAAGTTTGAAAAAAACTCCAAATGACAAAAGCTTTTGTGAAAAAAAACACCCCAACTATCGGAGATTTCTCCTTCCAACCCTTAAGTGCCCTGGAGAGTTTGATATTACAGAGAACAACAGCTCAAGAAATCACAGAGCACACATTTACAGGCTTGACAAGTCTTAAAGAACTCGATATGAGCTGGAGTAGCTATAGCTCGCTCAGAAACATCAACAGCAAGACCTTAGTCTCACTGGCGGGGTCGCCTCTCAGAAGGCTAAATCTCACCGGAACAGCTATTGCACAGATTGGTCCTCAAAGCTTCTCTGTTTTGAGAAACCTCACCACGCTTCTCCTAGATTACAACTTTATCAAGCAAATTCTAACTGGGAAGGAGTTTGAAGGCTTGGATCAAGTTGAAGAGATTTACATGTCGAATAACCAGCAGACAGTCAATCTAAAGTCCACGTCTTTTGTTAACGTGCCCAACCTTAGAGTCCTGACTTTGAGGAAAAGTCTTAAGGCCGAAGCTGTGAACCTGGATCCCTCTCCATTCAGCCCCCTGACCAACCTCACTTTCCTGGATCTCAGCAACAACAACATTGCTAATATCAGAGAAGATATGTTGAAGGGGCTTGCAAACCTGAAAGTGCTGAAGCTCCAGCACAATAACATAGCCCGTTTGTGGAAGAGTGCCAACCTTGGTGGGCCAGTGTTGTTCCTTAAACACACACCCAGGTTGGTAACTCTTCAGATGGATAGTAACGGGCTCGATGAGATACCAGCAGAGGCTCTAAGAGGGTTGGGTAACCTCTGTAACCTCAACCTGTCCTCCAACCTTTTTAATCGTCTTAAGGACACAATTTTTGATGATCTGACTCACTGCGGGTTTTAAATTACAGAAGAATCTGATCACAGCTGTGAGACCAGAAGTGTTCAAAACTCCTCTGGCCAACCTCAGCCTGCTTGTCATGGACAAAAATCCGTTTGACTGTACCTGTGAGACCATGCTGTGGTTTGTGACATGGTTAAATGAAACAAATATGACCCATGTGCCGGGTCTCAGGGACCAGTATCTGTGCAACACTCCACTAGCTTACTTTAACCGCTCCATCATGGAGTTTGACCCCCTTTCTTGCAAAGACATGACTCCATTTCAGACCCTATACATACTGAGCAGCACTGCTGTCGTCATGCTGATGGTTACTGCATTTGTGGTGCGGTACCAAGGCTGGAGGATTCTGTTTTATTGGAACATATTGATCAATCGCACATTAGGATTTAGCGATGCCCACGTTGCAGAGGGCCGGGAATTTAAGTATGATGCTTACATCATACATGCAGAGCAAGACAGCAGCTGGGTGGAGAGGAGACTTTCCCCTTTAGAGAATGACATGTGCAAGTTTTGTTGGAGGACCGAGATTCACTGCCTGGTATGTCACAGCCTGCCTCAATCTTGGATAATATGAGAAAGTCCAGAAAAATCTTATTTGTCGTCACTGAAACCCTTCTCAGAGACCCCTGGTGTACAAGGTAAATCAAACATACACTGCTGGATTTAGACTTATACAGAATCAAGTAAAATCTAAAATATGCCATTAGGAAATGTGTGATGTGTAGTTTATTTGGTATGGGTTTCATACTGTAGGTATTTATGTTACATATTGATAAAATTAGTTCTCACAGATTTGTGTCTCTTTTACCCTTTTCTTTTCCTTATCCAGATTTATCGCCCAACATGCAATTCACCGGGACATTGAAGCCAACAGGGACTCTGTGATTCTGGTCTTCCTGCAGGATGTTCACGACTACAAGTTATCCCGATCACTCTACCTCCGCAGGGGCATGTTGCATCCGTGCTGCATTTTGGATTGGCCTGTCCATAAGGAGAGAGTGCCGGCCTTTCATCAGAAGCTCCTGATGGCACTTGGCATGACTAATCGATTGATGGACTGAATATATTTAATTGGGAGGAATGGGAAATTCCATCTTGAATATTTGTTCCTAGTATGTGTTCAGTGATTATAAATTGCAATCTGAATTTGCCCCCTTGTATATACACTTAAATGTATATGTATTTTCATTGCACTGCAGCTTTACATTAACAACAATTATTCAAATGGTTTAAGTGAAAAGTGGTGTTCTGTGTGATCGCCATAATGTTGTTTTAAAAAAGCTTTAGCTTAAAGGTGGGGTAGGTAATTTTGGAGAAACCAGCTCGAGTGTGCTAGAATTTGAAAATACACAGCCGGAACAAATCTGCCACTTCCTTACAGAGCCCCTCCTCCAACACACACAAACGCGCACACGACCAATGAGGGCACGAGATAAGTTTGTGCACAGATGGAAGGCTGACAGGCCATCCAATCATTTTAGCCAGGCCGGCTAAAATGATTGGTCGTGCTTTTTACAGTACTACGGCTTCCACAGAGGACATTTTTGTATGGATTTTTTGTCAAAGCACTTCAGATATTCATTGCTATCGGGATGTTAAGAGCATTCCATGGAATATAACAAAAAGTGTATCTAGAGCCGGTTTCTCAAACTTACCTACCCCACCTTTAACAGTTACATGTTTTACCCATTCTATTAATAAATGTACTTCTTGTCATCTAAAATAGAAAAGGCAATACTATTCCATGTTGTTTTCATTAACTTTTCCATTTATAAAGTGTTTGCTAAAAGGTTGGCTCAAGTCCAATAAATACTTTAACAAATAACCTTTATTTGAATTATTTCAGTTTTGATATTTATGGCAGGAAGTGGCTTTTGAAAGCATCAATTAGGTAGAAAAACGATTTTATGTCTACTTTTATGAAGTAATCATATTGATAATTCATTATTGCATTGATAGAAAATCCCCGTAATTTTCCATAAAAGCAAGGAATAAATCGGCTTTAATAGTGTCATCATGCTATCTAGTGGTATAGTAGATCTGACCATGTACTGTCTGTTACTGTTTAATCTAGTAACAATTTGGTTTGAAACTGGTTTTCTTGTAAAGTTAAGTCATTATTTGTTTTCTGTTTCCTAAAAGCTTAAAGCTGACTCATTTTCAGGGGCGTGTCAGGACTCAACTTATTCGGTGGCACAATTTGAGCTTATTAAAGCAGATTTTTTATAAAAATACTGACATCAGCTGTAATATATTCACTATTGTATGTGTATGTTTGTATTCCAGAATGTGAACTCATGCAAGGTTGCGTAACTTTTAAATCTTGATGAATAGAAGTCACATGACTTCAGTTTCCTCTTGCTTGCTAGAGCACTAATGTTCAATCTCTGTTGAGACACAGTGTCACAGAGATGCTGATTCAGCAGCAACAACAAACTACATTAAACCGCATAACTGGAAATGATCGGTCAGACCAAAAATATAACCACGTGACTGGTAGCTGGAGAGGTGCCAGTTCACCTCCTGGGCCCTGCTGAGGTGCCATTGAGCAAGGCGCCAAACCCCCAACTGGCCCCGGACCGACTGGCTGACTCTCCATGTGCGTGTGTGCACAGTATATACCTCTGTGTATAAAACAGTGGAAGCTGAATTTCAACTGAATCAATAAAGGTTAATCTTCTTCTTAACAACAAATTACAGTAATTTAGTATTTTGATATGACCTCAGTTTCATCATGACCACAAAGAGAGCACATTAGACCAATTTTAAAACCTCGACGCTGACAATGCTTCAGATTTCTTTTGATATATTAATTGGTTTTGATGGTCTCAGTGGCCTTGGTCCTCGCTATTGAACAGATATGCTTTCAACTTACAAACCCTGGTGAATCCTCAGGTATTATAAAGCAGTAATGGCATTTAATGACATTTAAAGGTCCCACGACTACCGCCCAGTAGCACTCACCTCCACCATAATGAAGTGCTTTGAGCGGTTAGTCAAATCATTCATCACCTCCTCCCTCCCTGAATCTCTGGACCCCCCTGCAGTTTGCCTACAGAGCAAACAGGTCCACAGACGACGCCATAGCCCTCACCCTCCACATTGCCCTCTCACACCTGGACCCGAAGAACAGGAACACATATGTGAGAATGCTGTTCATTGACTACAGTTCAGCATTCAATACCATTGTGCCCTCCAAGCTGGCCATCAAGCTCAGAGACCTCGGCTCAACAGCGCCCTCTGTGACTGGATCCTGAACTTCCTGACGGGCAGACCCCAGGCAGTGCGGGTGGGAAACATCACATCCTCCACCCTGATTCTAAACACCGGTGCCCCTCAAGGCTGCGTGCTCAGCCCTCTCCTCTACTCCCTGTTCACCCACGACTGCGTGGCCACACACAGCTCCAACACCATCGTGAAGTTTGCTGATGACACGACCGTCATCGGCCAGATCACAGACGATGACGAGACGGCGTACAGAGAGGAGGTCGAAAACCTGACATCTTGGTGCCAGGAGAACAACCTCCATCTCAACATCAGCAAAACAAAGGAGCTGATTGTGGATTACAGGAAGCAGCAGGGAGAGGGACACGCCCCCATCGCCATCAATGGGGACTACGGTGGAGAGAGTCAAAAGCTTCAGGTTCCTTGGGGTCCACATCACTGAGGACCTGACATGGTCTCTTCACACCACCACCATCACCAAGAAAGCTCGACAGCGGCTCTTCTTCCTCCGCAGGTTGAGGAGGTTCAAAATGGATTCCAGGATACTCTGCAAACTTCTACAGGTGCACGATAGAGAGTATCCTGACTGGCAGCATGACGGCCTGGTACGGCAGCTGCACCGACCTCGATCGTAAGGCTTTACAGAGGGTGGTGAAAACTGCACAGCACATCACCAGGACGGAGCTGCCATCCATGGAGGACCTTTACTTCCCAGCGGCTCAGGAAGAAATCACTACGGATTATCAAAGACCCCCATCACCCCAGCCACAAACTGTTCTTTCTGTTGCCGTCTGGCAGACGTTACCGCAGCATCCTGGCAAGGACAAGAAGATTCGGAGACAGTTTCTTCCCGCGGGCAGTGAGACTGTTAAAAAATTGAACTGTTGAAACAACTTCAAACATTCATCTGCTACTCAGTAGTATGTATCTAATACCTAATATATATATATCATTCCAATAACTTGTATATAGACTCGTACTGCACTATTCCACATCATCACTTTATTTTATTTTATAACTATTATTCTTTTTGTATTGCTCTTGCTCTTATTGTTATTATGTTATTATGTTGCATTGTTGGAAAAGCCTGTGACATAAGATGTTCAACTACATAATTACTCTGTAGCTATGTCAGATTGACAATAAAGAACCTTGAACCTTGAACCTATTATACTGTTTTTCATCAATATATTATAGGTCTCAGATATATACAAAACCTGTCTCTGAAGTGTTTGGCTGGAAACACCAAACAGATCACCCATTGTAGCATCCCATAAACCCCTCTGTTTCAGCCCTGTTCCAAAAGTGCTGATTCTCTGTCTTTTACTTTAGATGAAAATAAGGTGCCACTCCCACGCCCCATCTGGGAGATATTTGGTGTAAAAAGAACACAATGGTGCTCTAGGAGGAGATTCAGGTGACAAGGTGGGTCGGTGTTACCTTGGTTGGTGATTGGCTAATGGTTACACAAGCCAAAACATCGTTATGACATCATAAAGTGGCCAAAATCTGACCAGCTCATTTTCAGACAGGTTTTTATATAAATGGTTCAGGACAAAAAGTGAGCGAATCTTTTTTCCTGAAACTTTCAGAATCTCTTTACACAGAGGGGACACATGTTTATGTATAAAAGACATGCAAACGTGGAATTTGCACAATAGGTCCCCTTTAAAGTAAAAAAAAAAAAAAAGTTATTATGGCCTGCTCATTGCACACATGTTATTTGTTTATTTTGTATTTAATTTAGTTTTAGTTAAAGTTTTATTCACTGTGTTAGTGTAAATATTTTGTATTCCTGTGTTTAGTGAAATATTTTTGGTATTAGTGAATTATGTTGGTATTAGGTGTTGTTTTGTCTCCTTATTATGTACAATAATTATATACAAATGGTTTTAATCATAAATATCACAAAGATAAGAGTGGTATTTATTAACCAATCAAGTTGGACGTGACATCAAGGTATTCACAATGACAACAAGAAAATAAATAGGACAAAGGCCTTGGTCAGGGGCCAGTCTGATACCAACAAGTAAATAATTAACATCTTGATCATATATTATGTGTCAACATATTCAACTCATCATTTATCTCCCTACTATCTCCCATGTTATACATCTCCTTTTTCCTTTTAGGGCATTCAATAATAACAGCCATAAATGAGAATACATACTGGGCTTATCTAAGTTATTATCTGTCAGTGGACGGGCTGCAGAGAAAAGGAGGGGCAAACACATGTCACATGTCTGCAGTAAAGGCACAGGTGCTCAGCCCTCCTGCTATTTGAACACACACAAACACTGCATGCAGTAGACACAGCAGACACGATGGCAGTGTTACTCGGTAGTTACTCTATTGCTTTATTTGGAACCAGCTTTGTCATTGCGAGTCTGACTTACATCACCTACAGGCTGCTCAGCGATTACCTGCAAAAATGGTTCACAATGAAGCCTATTCCAGAGTTGGAAGGAACATATCCGATCATTGGAAATGCACTAATATTCAAAAACAATCCAGGAGGTAAGACAAAAATCAACATGCTGCTTCAGGAGGCTGCATATGATACAAAAGACTTGACTGAAAAAGTTAGTGTTTACTTGATGCTCTATAATTACTGTATATATGTAATTGTATTTATTTTTTTCAGATTTCTTTGGTCAAATTCAGGATTTTGTCCATCAGTTCAAGGATGCACCGCTATTTAAAATCTGGATTGGAACACTTCCATGTGTGATTTTGTTTCATGCTGAGAATGTTGAGGTACAGTGACTGACAACTCTACATTTAAACACCAAGTATGCACTCAGTGGGTGTATCTGTGAATGTCCACATGTATTTTCTTCTGAATATGTAGTCTCAGTAGTTGAATAAGAGTAAAACATGTGGGTTTTTTTTTTTAATGCACATTCTGGTGCAAAGCAATTATATTCAAAGTGTTTGTAAAAAATGTATCAGCAAAACACCCACATATTGAAGCACTTTCGTTCATTTTACACTCATTAAATGAGGCAGAAGCATGCTATGTTGAAACTCGATCCAGCAAATCACCCTGAGTAGACCTTAACCTCGCACTCCCTATGATAACATGGTCTTTTGAATGTCATTGCACTTTAACACACTGTAGCCACTGCTACTGCTACATGACTGCAACTGCGCACATCTGCAGCTATTGAATAACAACATTGCTGTTTCATTGGTTATTCTTTCTTACGTTTACGTTTTGTTTTGCACTTGTTGCTTGTAGACCGTTCTGACCAATGCGGTTCATATGGAGAAATCCTATGCATACACCTTCCTTCACCCTTGGCTTGGAACTGGACTTCTTACTAGGTATCTTTCTCTGGCTCTTTCTGTTTGATATTAAACGACTGTTGTGATGATGATCATAAAATAGCACACATCTGGCTTTAATACGTAAAAAGAAAAACAAAGTCCTAGCATAAAGAAAACTCTGGCTGGCTTTGAACAACAACAAAGACAACAAAAATATCATCTCAATCATAACATAATAGGAACCATGAGTCCCAGATGCATACTATAGAGTAGGTCCAGAGGTAGAAGAAGTAGTCAGATTGTTTACTAAAGTAACATTTAAAGCACCAGATATTTTTTTATTATTACAATTATTGGTGCATTCATTTGTTCACCACTTCACTGTTGAACATGGCAAATGTGGGGTTTGTTTGAATTATTTTATACACTACTGTTTAACCTATAATAGTATAATATAATATGTGTCGATTTATGTCTTGTATTAATAACTTACATTTGCAAAGAAACTAGTAACTAAATATGTACAATAAATGTAGTGGAGTAAAAAGTTCAACATTTCCCTCAAATGTAATAAAGTAACAGTTCAAACTAGCATCATTTAAACATCCTTAAGTAAACTTCAAGTACCTAAATGTATTACTTAAGTAGAGTAAATGTATTTTTTTACA